ATGACGAAATATCTGACATCGACACAACAACTGATGACAATGAACCAACTCAATTGATATAATGATACTCTCGATATGATCTGAAGTAGCTTTTTTAAGAATAAGAAAACCTTTATTGCAGACAAAGTACAACTACATTCGTGTTGCTTTTATTTCTTAACTAGAATTTCTGTTTTTAAAAGCCAAGGGCTTCCTTTAGAAGTTGAGAAGTTCCATATTGCAATGTTTTACCTGATTAACAGCATCCTCAGCTCGTCTTCTGACCTCAGCGACGCGCTCTTCAGTCTGTCTGACTGCAGACGCCATTATCTCATTCGCTGCACGCTTTATCTCATTGCTCTCTGTTGACTCCATTCCTAAACAAACATTAACTTTAACTACAACGACTCATAAATATTTAAATTAGGGCGTTTCGCTTCTAACTTAGGCCATGTTTTACGCCAACTAATCTAGGTAATATTATAAATGCGAGAGTTTAGATGGATTGATGTTAGAGTCTGTAGCCTAAACGGCTATAAGGATAGGGATAAAATTTCGTGGAAATAGTTATGATTCTCGTGGGATGTAATAATTTAGTTTTTGTTTGCTCTATTTCTGAATCGATTCAACATATCTTGTTAAAATCATTTTTTATTTTACATTATTAGTTTGTATGTTGTCTAATACTAAGCTAGTATTAATAATTATCAGGTCTTATTTTGAAAGTACTTTTTTAATCTAAAAGTGTGACACCGCCAATGTTGCTGACTGTACCTCTTTGCTGCAGTATGGCGAGTGCGCGCTTGGTCTTCTCTACCATGCTAAGGATGCAGTTAAGCATGGTGTTGATGTTACGCCACTCGTCATCCCCCTTGCCACCCCCGATGCCCCCCCGAGCCTCCCCCAGAGACGCGTTCATAGAAGACACGTCGCGCACTGATATGCCACCTGCAGAAAGGTTATACGTTTATACATCTATACTAATGTTAAAAAGAGGAAGATTTGGATTATCGTATGTATTGAAATAACTCAAAAACTAATGGGTCAATATCAAAAATTCTTTCACGTAACGTAGGCTATATTTTAACGTGGACGAAGTCGCGAGCAACAGCTAGTCGTACGTATATTACGGAACTGATCTATTATTATTATTTTGAATGGGCAGCTTTAGTTATTTTACTAAACAATAATTAATTTGGCTCTACCAACGCTCCTCCACTCAAATACCTATTATAAAAGGTCGCTGAAATAGTTGTAAATATAAGTTCCTTTTATGTTCTATTTTTAAAAATGTGTGTTAAAATAAAAATCCTAATTACGGATTCGCGCGCGCCAAAATCTAATGTCATCTGTCAAAACCAACCAGAGACAACAACGGCGAGTTTACAAAGGTTGTCATGCACAAACAATTTATAAGGCAATAAATTATACATCTGTACAAAACAGATTTTATAACATTCGATTTGATGTTTATAACCTGTAAATTATTTATACATAATTGTGTTAAAATAATTATAATTCTGAGTTAAGACAGCCTTAAATATTAATACAAATCTAAGAACAAAATGAAATAATTAATAAAATAACATTTCTCTGTATCTCTGTAAATCTAAAGAAGTTTGTTTCTGCAAAATCTTACCATCTCTCCTTTCAAAAGCAGGTTCTTGGCCGCCATGATAGACAGGGTAGGGGTGTCCGTAGTCAAACAGACTGGCGTTGCTAGGCAACGGACAGAGGAAAGGCGAAGGGTTCAGCAGGAGGTTGGAGGGCGCTCGTTTGGCCTGCGGCGGGAACTCTTCATGTGAACCATTCGATTGAGACGCCTCGTAAAATCTGAAAATGAAGTTTAAAATGTATTCTATAGTTTTTGCCCGCGACTCCGTCCGCGTGGAATTAAAGAAAAACAAAATGAAGTAGCACACATAGATATTCTTCCAGACTATCCTCTACATTTATACCAAATTTCATCGAAATCCGTTCAGCCGTTTAGGCTACAAACTCTAACGAACATCCATCCATCCATCCATGTAAACTTTCGCATTTATAATATTAGAATAATCTATAGACTGTGGTAATCTATACTATTATAATAAAGCGTAAACACACACTTCTTTGTTGCCTAAGATGTCAGCAGTTACAGCATACTTTTGAATAATTCTTATTTTAATAAAAAGCCCTACACTTACGTCATGCTTTAGGCTATATATTTTCACGCCATTACACTTAAGGGGTAAATGTTTTCGATAAAGACCCTAATGTGGGAAAGAGACCATAAGTTGCTGCCAACATCAAAAAAGAAAGATTGCTAAGGTTTGTCAAGTCATGTCGTTTTGACATTTGCTATTGATAATTTGACAAATGTAAACAATTCAATAAAATTATCATAATTTCATGCGGATGAAGCCGTACGGGAACAGCTAGTTTAATTAATAAAGAACAATACAGATTAAAAACACCAACATAAAGGAATCAATAAGACAAAGGAATTTATTGTTTGAAGCCACTTCTAAGTTATCGGAACTTCTTAACAAAAAGAGTTGAATTCATAGAATGTTCGTTATAAATGCTTTTAACGACAATAGAATCGAAAGACAAAGCTGAACTTTGTGTTAAATGTTTTGAGAATAGAAATAAATAATTGTGGTCTAAAATAACAACTGAAAGCGTCGTGCTTTACTAATTCATTGATAATTTTACTAGATGGCGCTACGAAGTCGTGTTTGTTTGGTGACCCAAAAACTTTATCTCGTTACTAAATTATTTCTCACCACAAAAGATGTCCTAAAACATTTAGTAATAGCACAACAGCAGCTTACGGTGAATAATAATTAATTGCTTAACAAAAATCCCGCTACCGCTTGTGTCATGTCCCGTATACAATGGAGTGGGGCCGATCAGCACGCATTGTCTGTGCGCTGCGTTTTAAACGCCGATAGTAATCTATGGCCGCGTTTGGATTGCGTTCAATTCATTATGAGTCTGTGCTCCGCTAACGGCTAGCTATTAACACGCGCCAACAAACGATTGTATGTGATTTTAGCCATAATAGTTTGTACGAAAATAACATTCATATTTTTTGAAGTAAAAACAAGATAAGAAATATTAAGTTATTGTTGTAGGGAAATTATTTTTTATTTAATAACTAAAAGTAAAATAAAATTCAGCGCCTGTTCAAGATTGAAGAGCAATTATTAATTATAAAAGTATGCCGATAGTTTTATAAAGGCGCTACAATAATGTCGGTATGGAGAAAAACGTGTATAGACAAACTTGTAAAACTCAAAATGGAAAAGGCACATGGTGTACGTAGGATCGTTTGGCAAAGTTACGGCAACGAACCGGCGGTCCCGTGTTCTAATAATTTTGCGGGGGCATAACTCCACGCACATGGGGCCAACGAGTGCCCCCGTCGGAATTTAAAGCTACGTCGTTGTGCCAAATTGTACGAATGTCGATAAGTTAGGCCTAACAACGGATAGAATATCGGAAAAGTTTGTAAAGCTTTTGATTAGTGATGATAGTAGCTTGTGATTAGAAAATAACTCTTAGAAAATTATAAGTAAACACTACAGAGTTAATTGTAAGCTGAAAAGCTACAATAATGTCTTTAGTAAATAAAACACTAGATAGAAAAAATAAGGCATAATTTAGATACCACCACAAATCTATTAAAACCTCCAGACCCGATGTGATTTTAACACTTTTAAAATTAAATTAATAAACATAAATTCCTAATGATGTATTGATATGGCAAACTCAAAACTTTCTGTTGGTAGTTTAGATATAGTTGTTAAAACATATGTCGTGCGCGGCTGTGTCTGAGGCGCGGTGAACAAGCGCCTGCCGGCTGCCGCGCGGCAATTAGTTGACGATCAAACTTCTGACTGTAGTAATTGCTATTATTTTAGTGACAGGCGTTAATTAGAAATTGAAATTAGTTTTTAGTTTTAAATGAAAGGTAATTTAAATGATGTATGGTAAAACTTAGATTGTGATATATAACTTTTTACACGTAGTAATTTGAAATGTCAACCGAAAAAAAAGTAAATTAGATTTTCGACTAGAGAGCTTTGTCGAAAAATAAATTCTGACAATAGTTTCCATCCACAGCTGAAATGATTTACAATAAAACGTCAATAACAAGCTTCTATTTAATAACGAAATTGTGGTATTTGTACTAGGACAGGCAATTTAGGGACAATCGTCGAGTCCTCACCCAAACGTCACGTCACGACAAACAGCAAAAAACTTTATCCCGCCACACGACGTGTGCTTGACATATAGGGATGTTACATTATGATAGCGTCGTTTTTCATCAACCCTATTAACGGTAGCGTTAATAGCGTTAACGCTATTATTCGTTTTTTTTAAGTTAAATTATGGAAAGTGTTATTATTTAAGGAAATGTGTTATTTAACCAATCATAAAACATGTTAAATGATTCTAACTGATTGAAATGCATTTGCTTCTATGAAATTTTCTTCTAAAAACGTTACATTTTATTTTTAAATTGGTAAATTTCCTAACCTAAAGCTTTTAAAACGAAATATGTATGTAAAATATTACGTGTGCTTTGACAACAAAACTATAGTAAAATAACAGTTTGCTATGTGATAAAATAGCAGTTACATTAACCGTTATATCTTTGACACCACTATAATAGAGGTGTGAGGTTAACGGTGGGGAGGTGCCTCGCGAGAGTTCCCGCGGGACAAATTGCCTGTCCGGAACACTCACCTGCGCCGGACGATTATTGTCCGGCGTACAGGTTTGATATTTGCTCGACGGCTTTTTAAACCAACCGGAACTCGTTAATGGATTTGTGGTTTGTAATTGAACTACAAATATACTTTGTTGTCAGATTTCATCCGGAAAAGATTTTAACAAAAACAGATTGGTGATATTTTTAATTTGATAGTTGTCTTTTTTCTACATATTACATCGGTATAAGCTATTGGTAATATTATTATCTAGTTTTAATAATTAAATAATAATTAATATAATTGTTAGTAGCGTAATTAATAAGAAAACTTAGATCTAGAGATCCCGCCAGGATGGCGCGCTATTTTAATACGTCTGACATTTGACAGCTGTCAGATAGAGATGTCTACGTCTACGCCGATAATCTAGTGTTGCGCCAATCCTACAGCGCAGTACTAATTTTATTCTTAACAGTAGTTAGTTTGACACTTTTTACTTGCTAAAATTGAAATACCTAAAACCAACACGTTTTTCACTAAAACTAGAAAATTCCGCACATAATCTAAATCTAATTAATATTATAAGTGCGAAAGTTTAGATGGATAGATGGTTGATGATGGTTTGTTAGAGTTTGCAGCCTAAACTGCTAAACGGATCTCAATGAACTTTGCTATAGTGGTAGAGGATAATCTGGAAGAACACATAGGCTACTCATTTTTTTTAATTCCCCGCGGAAGGAGTCGCGGGCAAAAGCTAGTAATTGTAATAGAACACTTTTAAACGTTACTTTTTTCATGATATCACTGAGATAGTGCAATGACGTAATTCCAGTCATATATCGTTGTCTTTTAGTTATTGGACTGAAAAAAAAACTCACGGGTCGCTGGCACGTCGCTTGATTGGTTCGCAAGGGTGTTGTTGTGCGAAGATGTCTGCAGCCTCAGCACCACTCTCCAGTACGAGGTGCTCATGCCCGCGGATGTATTGGAGCGGTGTCTGTTCACACCACATTAATAATAATACACATTTTTAACAGGGGAAGAAACCTTTGATCTTCGTTTAAATGCTCGCCTTACAATTGTGCACAATACGACCAAGAAACGTGTTTAGTGATAGCAATTATTGCTGTCTGATGAGTATGTGGGCAGCCTAATTTTAATGCTATTCCCTTTTAGACCCTTTTCTTACAAGGAAATGATGGAAAAGAGAAGTTTGATAGGACGCAGTATGGGAAATATCTTATATCTGTGCGTCTCCTTCTCTGTTGATTAAAGGCAACGCTTCTACAAATATGATAGTCTATGTATGGCGGTCACTTCGCTATTTTGGCAAATTCCGGGGGCCGCGTATATGTTTGCCACTTAAAAAAAACTATAGTATGGATATAATGGTACTCGTAAACGAAAAAACTCCGAACGACATATTTTACAATAGGTATTACTAG